TATCTTCATCACCATCCCACTGAAATAATAACACCAATAACAACTCCTAGCCCTCTTTTTGCTCTCAGTGTGAAGGATAACATTAATATATTGATGCAAATTTCTAGTGTTTATCGGTGTGTGTTCATTTCAATGGAGCCAAAGCTGAAGAAATCACTTTCTAACGAGATAATCACAAACAAATCTCTCACCAAGTACTTCATTGATAGACCAAATCCCATTAGCACTAACTAAAGTCCTTTACTTTGGAGCTTGGATTGGAATCGAGGCAACAGAAAAAGCAGGGGAAAGGAGTACAAATCTGTTTTTCCAAAGATGTATTAACAATATTTGTTCTATTAAAATGCAAGTTATATTTGAAGAGGATTTTTTTAAAGATAATGAATAAATTACAAATATATTTCAAGAGTCTTCAATACTCAACTTTGAAGAGCACTTATGAATAATAATGCATTAGGAAAGGTCAATTGGGCTTTCTGTCTAAAAAGTTAACTATTCAGTGCCTGAGCTCTGTATCTATTACCAGTCTTCCTTATCGGCAGAAGGAGGCAAATGATCCCCTGAAATGTTTTAAACGTGCAACTTTGCTTATCTTCCTGTATTAATGATCCTTATGGCAGTTGTTGTATTAACCTTATCACATAGCATAGCAATAAGAGAGGCCTAATGTGCAAGAAAGGGAAAAACATTTCGTTTAATCTCAGGGACCTTCTTCTAACCTAGCAATTTTCTGATTATCAAGAGGGGTAAAAAATGAAAGTTAGGCTTTTACTGGGTTTTCATAAAATCACAAAGAAACTAGACGTTTCCAAATGGGTGATTCATTAAACATCATACGATGTGAAGAGGACCCAGATTAGATTATCGACTGAAGGCTCATTATGTGAGTTCTGGGCTTTGAGGGGCCACTAAGGATCTCTGACTAGGAGACAGGAAGTGGCTCCTGAGAAAGTCTGTCCCCTTCAGGGCTCTGAGTTGCTCATTTATGCACAGGCTCTACAAGAACTCCCACTTGCCCTGGAACGACTTCTACCTTCTTTATCACGTGGTATCTGAGCATGGAGGAGGTTCAAAGACGCCATCCTTTCATTCCTTCCTAACTTTGACAACAAAGGGAATCTTGACTCTGAGACTCTTCTACCTTTTCTCTCAAGGTATCGAGAAACCACCTAACTTTATGATTGAACTTAGTATTTTCATCCAACTGTAAATACTGTGCACAGCACACATAGTGGCAAGGCGAACTCAGCCCTTTCCTATGCCAGGTAATATGCTTTTTTTTTTCTTTCCCTTCGGCTTTTTTTTTATCCCTTTAATGTGGGGCAGGGCTACTGATTACAAAGGCAGTTTGACTCTGGCAATAGGTCTTCTTCACTAATCCTCACTGTCATGGAAATTCCAGCTGCTACAAGAATAAGAGGCTCAATCCATATTTGCCAGCTCTAATATGAAATCTGTCAGAGCCCAAATTAATGAGTTCCAAATTCCTTACATCACGATAACAGGTTAAGACTGGTCAATTAATTACATAAATCCTTCCCGATTCATTGTGCGTTTGCAGCCCAGATTGTGTCTTACATTACTCCATGACACAAGGCCTTTTGGCTCCTGTTGTTCTGCAGAAAGGCCCCATTTAAGTGGAGGCTGCCTAGCACGGTAAAATGTTAAATGTCACACGTTAAATTTGCACTTTTCTGTAATTGCTTTTGTTAAAAAAAAAAAAACCGAAATGAAAGCATGGGTTCCAATACACGACTGTGCTGGAGGTGGTGCTCTGCCTCTAACAGGTCACACAGACTTTTCTGTACACATGCTCTGCAGGAAGACGCCAGAAAGTTCAGGTTTGTGAAAACAAATGGAATTTCCTAAGCTCAGGAGCAGCAAAAAACAGCTGAAGGGACCCCTTTGTAATGAAAGGATTAAGACAGGACTCCACATAACCAGCTTCTCTGGTCGGGCACTAGAGTATTATTAAATGTGTAGTCCATGGAGCTACGAAAAAGAGGGCAAATTATACAGTGTGCTTTGTACTTGTGTAGGCCTTTGAAAAGCAAGCTCCTGAAGGCTTTCCTGTTTGGATTTGCAGCTGATATACACAAACCGAGGATAGAACTGAGGACTCAGGACCTCAAAATCACCCGCAGGGCGAACCTTTTGTTTCTCAAACATCAAAATGCATTTGGAATCACAGCTGGTTGAACTCAATCTAAAACTGTACCCTCTAGTATCCTAGTCCCATCTCTTGCTCCGCATCACTGCATCTCTTTGCGGCCTGATGCACCTAGGAACCCTGGGAGAGGAACCGGTCCTGCTGCTGTTTCCTGAACCGTGTCACCGCGGCCTGCAGTCTGGCAAACACATGAGCAAGCAGATGACGCTGTGGGCAAATAACGAGACCTACGTGGGCAGCAGGTTCCTTCCACAGGGGCCGCTGCAGACGCAACCAGCCTGATCCTGGGCCCCCCCGCCGGCCCGACAGCGCCCCCGTCCGCCCGCCGGCGGCTCTGCACCGCGAGTCCCGGGCGGCGCCCCTCCATCCCAGGAAGGCTCAGCCTCCAGCGGCCCAGGCCTGCACCGACCCGCGCCCCCTGCACCAGCACCCAGCCCCACGCAGGGCCGCGGAAGCACGCGCCTCTCCCCAGCGGCCCAGCCTGGCCACCGGCGCAATCACCCGCTCTGTCCAGATGAGACAGGGCACGCGGCGCGCCCTCAGGAAGGTTCCAGGCTCCGGGATGGTGGGGGAGTGGGGTTAATAATGCACGCGGCGCTGCGCACGGGCGTTTACACGCGTGGATCGGCTGCAGCCCGCCATGGCATCCGCAGAACAAAGGCCCGAGCGCCGCCTCCCTGAGCGCCGGCCACGCGTGCCCAGAGCCCTGCAGGGCCCCGACGCGTGGAACCCGGGTCATGGTGCCCAGTGCGGCCCTTCTGTGGGGCTGCTTTATTTCTCTTTACTGCCTGGCCGCTGGGAGGCTCGAAGCAGGTGGGCAGGCGCGACAGCGTGGCATCGCGTCCCTTTGTGGCAGTTCCCGCTCTCCACCCGCCGCCCCGCTTTTTTTTTTTTTTTTTTTCCCCCTTGCAGCAGCGCAGTTGCTATGGGTTACCAGGGCGGTTGCCATGGGTTACGGGACCAAGGCCGGTTGGCTCGCTACGTGCCACTCAGTCGCCGCCGCGGGCGGAGCAGGCCCCGACGGGAGGGAGCGGGGGCGCGCGTGTGCGGGACGCCCACAGGCCAGCGGCGGGAGCACCGGCGGGGGTGGGGGGGCAGAGCTATAAAGAAGGCCCAGAGGTAAGGAACCCGCAAAGCAACCCCAGGGTCCGCCGAAGCGGCCTGGGGATTTGGATGAATTATGCACGTCTGTCGGTGGAGAAAGGGTCTTTTCCTCTTTAGCAGAAACCATTTACTCTTTAGATCAGAATTTGAATTCAGCAGAAAATTTTGCGCTCTCCCTCACTCCTTCCCTCCCTCCCTCCCTTCCTCCCTCTCCCTCTCTCCTTTGGAATTTTGAAGAGAAAGGGTCATTAACTACCAGACTTTGCACAGCTAAAATAAATTAGTGTCCGATGCACTGTTCATAACGAAAATCTAGAAAAGTTTCCAGCAAAAGGGAAGAGTAGTTGTGTCTGACTTGAAGAGACAAAGGTGACTAGGCTGTGGGATGCATTTGGCAAAGAACAGAGCCAAAATCTCTTGTAGCTTTGTCGAACTCGAAAGGAATGGTTTAGTTATATCCGTCTAAATGTTTTGAACGCCACTTTATTAAAAATGGCTTAATTTCTTACTACGTTTACTTGCAAAGAAAACTGTATCTATGCTTTGAATGAATGTCAAGTTGCAATCACTAATTTCAGACATTTTATATTTGAAGATGTTTACATATAGCAAACTGGAAAAAAAAAAAGTCTATTCCAAAACAAAAGCACAAACCTGTATTGAAATAGTTTCCTCTGTTGAAAAGTCGCTACATGGTATTCATCAGATACCAGTTAAGTAATTTAAATATTAAGAGGGAAGACTAGAAACCGAATAAGCATTTCTAATTTTTGTCCTAAAATTTGAGGTCTTCCATAAAAAGATCAAACCCTGAAAACCTTATTGTATACATTGACTCAAAGATAAACCCTTAAACCATCAAAAATATAGAAACTGAGTTCAAAACATCCATTTCACCATTATTTGGTATAACATGGCTAAGCTAAATGAATTTATTTAAATTCTTAATGTCATATGAAAGACATTTTATTCTTTTACTTTTCTGACATATATAACTTTTTGTATTTAATTATTATATAAAATGTGATCTAGGCTTGAAAAGTTCTGACAATATATATTTAGTATTGTAAAGAATGACAAGTGATTCAAGACAAACATTTGTGATTTTTTTTTTTAAGCTGAAAATTTTAATTGGAATAAAAATCACTTTCTTCCAAAGAAGCCTTAAGTAACAGGTTGTTGACTTTCTTTGTTGACATCTTTGGGCCACATATAAAGTGAACCTCAACACAAAACACATAAGCTGACTTTAGAGGTGTGTACAGTCTACCCTTTCAGAGTTAGCCAGAAAAACAGAGTTTTGCTGAACATAAATCATAAGGCATCCAGAATTAGGATTCCTAAAACTTAATTCACGTTAAAAATAGTATTAACAACTAAAAAAAAATAGTATTAACAGCTTATCTATTCAGTTACATGTATAATGCTTTCTTTACCTAAAGAAAGGTTTTAAAGAAATGACATAAAAATTTAAAAAAGTGAGCTACCCATTGAGAACTGAAGTTCATCTTTAAATACCTTAGCTCCAAGATGTCATTTTTAAGAAGCAAGTGCTTAGATATCAGAACAGCCAAGCCAGAACCAATAACATGGAACCAAAGCAAAGATTAAACCAAGTTTTAGCAAAGTTCTTCATAAGACATCGCCAATAATTCAAAAAACACTGAATTTAAATCTAATCAGAAGAAATATCTTCTCTTCTATAAAATAAGTGATTCAATGAAGCTGGGTTTTTTTCATGTTTAATGTGAAAACAATGATCTCATGAAGTTTACATAGCAAATAATAAGCATTACTTAATATTAATTTTTTGGGCTATGTTAACATCATCAAAAATAACATGACAATTGATGGTACAGTATATGCTTTTCAAAAGGGCTGAAACAGAAATATTTTGCATTCATATACACTGCTGAGGGACTGGGATTGCTCTGCAAGGCACAGATGGCAAACTTCACATGTCAGCAAGGTAATAAGGAATTGCTAAATCTTTTTCTTTTGCTTCCTGTATTAAGATAACGAATATTATAAAGTAAAGTAACAGGATCTAAGAACATTAAATCAAAATACTTACAAAAGTTTAATAATGTTTTGGACCAAACTAAAACAAGGAGAAATTAAAGAAACCATTATTATCCTTAATTTAATTTTTCTGTTTCTTTTTGGCCAGCTTTTGAAATAAGCATTTCAAAGTATACTTCAATAGCTTTTTATTAATAGAATAACTTTCAAACTCCCAATTAAAATAAAGTGGCTGCTTTTTGCAGCAGCCTTTGCTGCCAGTGACTGTGAGTCCTGTTCTATTAAAGCAACAAGTTATCCCAGTTTTGTGAAATACCTTCCAGCTAGCCTTGCAGAGAAACTTCACCCTATTCCACCAGGAAGAAACTTGGTGAATTAGCTCAGAAAAATGATGCCTCATCTGAAACTGGAGGTTCAAAGGAGTTTTTCCAAGACATCTTATTTTTGGGCCACTAAGAAAAAGATATTTTATTAAAATTAAGTCAATCTTCAGGTAGATACATAGAAAGGGGGCTTCTAAAAGAATGAATAACAAATAATGAATTCTGAAATTATTGAGTTGGCATCTGTTCCAAAATTCTTGGAATATTTATGGGTAAAATTAAATGTATTAATTTTTAAAAATAAGTAGTGAGGAGCCACCACTGATAATGAAGATTACCTGGTGAAAAAAAAATTACACATTTGCTCAGAAAATAAATCACTAACATGCCATTCTAATTAGACAATGAGGATGAACTGTTGCCAGAAACCATGTCTGAGCTGATTTGAACAATAAAATGTACGTCTAAATCTACATACTGAAAATTTAAGCAAAATTACTAGCACTATTTCTGTCTTTATTCCTAAGATGTAAACATTATTTCAATACGTCTCTATTCATAAGACATATTTTCCATTTATATGTGAAGGAGAATACTGAAAAATTTAAATACTCTGAAATATTTCAATCAAACACCCCAAACCTAAGTATTTGCCAGTGTTGAGATATTCTCAGAACAGAAGCCACATGTCAGAGAGGCCATCCGCTTGCTGTCACTCTGCACCACAGCACAGTGGGTAGCATGGACACGTCGTGTTTATGGCAACTGCCCCACTAATTCTCAGGAGTGCTCTGTCTGGATTTAAGTGCTACCAATACACCTGGCTCTTTAAAATGCAGTAGGACCAACTGGATTTTCTTCTTATATATATAACATATAAATCATTTCATTTTAGTAGGATCGTGTTTACTAGTAATACCTGGCAATAAAGGATGGTATAGCATTCATGGACTCTATAGCTTTATACAGAGGCTTGGCTAAGATTAGACAACATAAAAATACATACCACTAATAAACAACCCACTGCCTTTAAGAGTTTAACTACCTAAGAATGAGACAGTGAGCATTAGGTAAGAATATATTGAGCAAGCTTTCTTCTCCCTGGCTGGACACAATTTGCTTTTCCTAAGGTGGTAGCACTAGACTTCCTTTTCAAGACTCCTGCAGAGCTGCACTTGTTTTACATCCATGTGAACTGCTGTCATCACTGCTGAGTCCAAGCCCAGAGGATGAACTGGAAAAGAAGAGAGGGGGAAAATAATAAAAGGAGGAAATTGGTTTTCACAACACACTCAAAGCCTGAGTAACAGAGGAGAACTTTAATTATCTCCAGTCACAAAGAGAGACAGGAAATTTGGACTTTTAATTAGCCATTTGGAGTGCAGTTGGATATTTTTTTAGCTAGATAATTTAAACGCGAATAATTCAAGTCTGACTAAATGAAAGTCACATAATCAGAATGCAGATAATTGAATTTCTAGTGCATTCATTAATTCAGTGTGGAGGTGTGTGTGAAGACGGCTATGATGAGCTGTCACAGCTCAATAAAATCTCAGTCAATTAATTTTTTCATTATCTTAGTATTACATCAACAAAAAAGCAAAATGTGTATATGTATGTACATGCACACATGTGGGTACTGTGTGTTACATAAACACATATATACATTAAAGTGCAAGGAAATACCTCTCTGAATCATAATCTACATCGTTGTCTTTTTTCCCTTCTTCGTCTTCTTCAGGAAAACGTCTGTTCATCAAGGCAAACTTGTGAATTGCTTCCTCCACCGAGTACTTGGTCTGCCCAGAAACGCATGCCTCAATGTCCTCGGAGTTCAGATGGCTCTGCAGGAAGAGGTGCAGGCTGCTATCAGAGAGCAAAAGTGCATTCTGCAGGACTCTGTGCAAAAGAAAAAAGAATCACTGAGCAGGAACAGTCAGAGTGTGTAGAAGAGAGAACCCTCAGAAATGTGCCTCTGAAGTCATTCCTCCACTGTGACAAACTTTGCATAGATGATGGGCTCTGCCCATTAAAGGGATGAAAGCATATGTTAACTTTTATTCAATTATTTGGAAATTTAGGTGAGTAAAAACATGAAGCTAATAGTTAAGAACATCTGTTAAAAGAATAACTTCAAGGACATTTCTTCAATTTAACCATCTGTTAAGACCATGTGGATTAATTATGGAAATATTTTGCTTATATGGTCATAGAAATTTAGTCTGCTTAAAAAAATTTACTGCCAACAGTGTGTCAGTGAGCGGTCTTTATTGGATATGCTGTCATGAAACATCAAAACTTTCAACTACATTAAAAATTAATGAAAAAGTCAATACACTTCTCAGCATGTTCTACATTTTAAAACTTTACAAGTTTACTATGTACTTGTTTGCAAGGGCTCACTGGAAACGTGGCTTTTTTTAAATACCTAAGATGGACTAGAAATTTCTCTAATTTCTTCAGCAGCCTTACATCTCTGGTGCCAAAACAAGCAACAGAATGAACTTGATCCCGGCAGTTTTCCCAAATAAGATACTTTAGTGTTAAGTACATTCTGGACCTTCCCACATAAGAAATAAGTTTACAAAGACATCACAGATTTCCACTAAATGTATCAGAACTACATAGAGAATTGAAAATGAACTTTGTAGCAAAAATCTAGCATGGTCAAATTCATATTACCAGTAAGTATTTTTTTCTGAAATGCATGTCTTCAAATAGGAAATCAAGTCAAGAGTATACAAGTACACTTAAACAGAAACTGGTGTCACATCTTTTTTGCTAAGATTTTTGACATAAGATAATTTAGTCTCTTTTAACAGTTCACCAAATGATATAACCAGAGGCACTAGACCACATGCAGGAAGTGAAACACTACAGCCCAAGTATAATTTCGTCCGACATGGGATTTTTTTTTTCACATGGAGATCTATGAAAAATAGACCATGTATCTCAGATCAAATGAACCTTACTTTATATCCTGCATGTTTAAACAATTAATTAGAAAAATAATTCTCTTCTGGCCATTAATATCAATTTAGTTAAACACCAAGGTCATTACAGCACCACCTTTTTCTTCCAAATAACAGTTGTGTCTTCAGAAAGGCAGATGCCTACACCCATACAGTCGGGTCTAGCTGTCCCTCTGCTTCTACAGACTATGAATATAACATGAGGAGGAAAAAAAAGAACTCTTTGCTAAAAACAAAAGCAAGAGTTTTGAGCTTTTGCAAGGGAAGATCTCAAGCAAAGCTGCTCAGTACTTCCTGTGTCCTCTGCCCAGTTCTCCCCAAAGATGACCATGTCACATGATAAAGATTCATTTACCAAATACAAGTAGCCAAGTAGTAAATCCTTTTCCTGCTTGAAGATTTATCTCCCACATTTACAAATGTTTGCTGTTCTTACCCTAAATACTTCAAATTAGGAATGAGTTATTTGGTAACAACCCACTAACACGAACTTGGAGTCAGTCGCTGTGGAGTTTGAGCAGAGCATTTCCTGTGGCCTCCTGCCGGTAGTTTCCTGCCAGCCACAGAACAAGTAACTGTTCCTAGGATTGTAAGCACTGCTTTGTTTCTGTTGGAAATGTGTTTTATTTTCTTTATAAAATAACGGATAATCTTTAAAATTGATTTTAGGTGGTTTGAGGCATTACACCACAAAAATAATGAGCCTTAATGCCAATGATATTGGACACAAATTCATTTTAGCTTTATTTCATGTCTAAAGCAATCCCACTGAGCCTTGAACTGCTCATGTGCTGTTATTAACTTGCTGGTAACCTAACACATGGATACAGCAAACAAAAGTGATCAGAGTCCAGGTTGGTCGAGACCTCAAGGCTACTGTCCTTTTTCTTGAGCTATAATTCAATTTCCAATTTTACTGTACACTGGACTCCTTGTTTCCCAGTTTTCTGCTGAATACTGCCCCCTGGAGGACACGAGGGTAAAGAGAGCGAAAGGACAGGCCACATTGCCCACGTTAGGGAAGAGGAGGAAAGATGATTTGGGGGGAGGGGACATCTGAATACTCACATAGGCCCAGATCAAAAACAGTGTGCCTGCTAATGTGATTTGGTTTTTTAAATCTCTTCTATCTTGATTAATTTTCTGCCTCCAGTCTTCACCAGTATAAGTTTGAAACAAGTAAAAGACTATTTAAAAATGTATTCATGCTTTTATTGGCCATCAGATAGTTTACATTATAAAATTTTAAATGGAAATTTTAGAGCAAGAAGTGATGATACATGCCTATAATCTCAGCACTTAAGAGTCTGAGGCAGGAGGATCAAGAATTCCAGACTAGCCAAAGCAGTACTTGAGCAAAAAATAATAAAACTTAAAATAGTTTAATTTACATTAAAAATATATATTGAAAACACATTTTTAATTAAAAAAAAACGTTAACTTTTATCAGGTTCAGAGGGCATGAATAATACTTCATTCTGAACAATATTTGTTTTACTGTCTACCCAGGTGTGCTGCGCCTACCACCATCATAACAGAAAATCCTATTTTTTCCTTAGTCATATTTGTGTCACATTTTCTACAAGCAAATCTAATAGTAGAAAATCAACTTCAAACCTAATATAAAGAATACTCTGTAAAACAGTCTATAAGATGTCATTGTTAGAAGAGTCCATAAAAATAAACGTATGTTGTTTTAAGCCTTTATAGAAGGAGTTTTAAAAAGCCAGCCTATATAATTTTAAAGGAATTTATGAAAATATATTTACGACGCAAGTCAAAAGCTACTCCTTCCCCCACAGTAACTTTAAATTAGACAAAACAAAACCCATTTTTCCTCTCAATTGGACACAGTTCAAAGTCTGGTTTTCCTTAACATGATTTTATTGGGTGTATTGTATAGTGGTTCAGTTGAGAACAATATGTGGTTACACCAAATCATTTAATTCTAACTGAGGATGTCCTGAGTCTACTGAAGTCAGTATAACATTGTCTCCACACATCTGCTTAGCACCTCCAAGGTTAGCAGTTTGATGTTGAAAAAAGTTAACTCAGTCTATTTACCTCTTACTGTGAGAAAAAAAAAATGAAACCTACAAATTTTCATTGAAAGATATTCATGAACTTATGCTGTAGTGCCCTCTATTGAACACAAAGACTTAACATAAAAAAGTGTGTGGTGTGTGTGTGTGTGTGTGTGTGTGTGTGTGTGTGTGTGTGTAAAACTAGCTGTAGTGTTTCTATGGCAGTCTTTTGTTTGTAAAAAACTTTAAGAAAATGTAAAATCATAGTATAGTTGGCATACATTCATACTCCCAGCATTTGAGAGGAAGAGACAGAAGGGCAGAAGGATCAGTTATTCAAAGTCATCCTCCACAACACAGCCCGGGCTGCCTCAAAATAACAAATATATGTGTGTGTACACACACACACACGTATACATCTCCACCTTATAAAGTCTAAATTGTAGGGTACACATACACTTATTAATGGATGCATTCAGTAAAGGAAAGTCAGCTCCCATTCTTTTCACTAAACCTAGAAATTTAATAGGAATTCTATTCATAGTTGGAGACTTACCAACGAAGTTTATAATTCTAGTCTATAACTTTCTTTTTCCATAATTATTATGGGGGCTTAAAATTTAAAATTAAGAGAAAGAAAAAAAACCAGATTACAGTCACAAGGAAAAATAAATATGTTTGAAAAATCTCAAATTAACAGTGACAAATTCAGCTAGTAATGGGAGTTCTGCCAGTCATAAACTTGCCAGTTCCTGGAACACGGCACCACTACCTTTCCTGTAATTTCCTTACTTACAGCCGGGCATGGTGGTGCACACCTTTAATCCCAGCACTCGGGAGGCAGAGGCAGGCAGATCTCTGTGAGTTCAAAGCTAGCCTGGTCTACATAGTGGGTTCCAGGACAGCTGGGGCTACAGGGAGACCCTGTCTCAAAAAAACCAAAAAAAAAAAAAAAATTTCCTTACTTACACGGCTGAGATAATACCCAATTCCTAAGATTGTTGAATACTGAAATAAAACCTATTAAATGGCAAACATATATCAAGTGTTCAGTAGCTAATATATTCTCATTTGACAACTAGTCAAAGGAACAAGTTTCTAATTCATATATGAAAATCTGCCTGAATGTATTTTACTTATATTAGTACATATTATTTTACAAATGACCATAATATTAAAATTACATTTTGCATGATATACATGTACACACATGCAGAGATGTTTTTGCTTTTATAAAATTTGAACAACTTCAAAATTTACATAAAAATAAATTTTTAAATATATACTGAAAGTCTGTAACACAAGCATTTTTTACATCTTTAAATTTTTATTTATTTATTTCAATTTATGTATCTGAGTGTTTTGCCTGCATGTAAGTACACCTATGTATTCAATGCCTGTGGAGGCCAGAAGAGGGCATCAGATCCCCTGGAACTGAAGTTATAATCCATTGTTAGCTGCCATGTGGGTGCTGGGAATTGAATCTGGGTCCTCTGCAAGAGCAGCCAGTGCTCCTAACTGCTGAGCCATCTTTCCAGCTCCATATTTTACATTTTAATGCGTTGATTCCAGAGGTCCTCCTCCAAACAAGGGGCCAACTACTACTGAATGACCCTACTTAATGGTAACTAGTGATGCCTCAAAGGCCACCAAGGCAGAGTCAGACATAGTCCTAAAATGCCTGTCTCATCCAGTGCCCTGAGTAGGCTTGGGCTGAATATAGGAGGGGCTCTACTCTAGAGGTAAAGACATGGACATTTGAACAAGAGAGCTGTGCATGGGACTATGACACAGAAACAAGATGCTCAGCAGTTGAATTAGGTCCAACGCCAACTGGGTGGTTTTAGAATCCTTGTTTCCTTCAGATTTAAACCACAGAGAAACACCAGATTTCTTTTTTAAAATGTTTATTTATTGTAAGGAAAGTGTGCATGCACGCTGCCGCATGCAATATGTAAGTCAGAGGACAACTTTCAGGAATCAGTTTTCTCCTTTGACCATGTGGGTTCAGGGATAGAGCTCAGGTCATCAGATTTGGTGGGAATCACCTTTACCTGCTTTCATTTTTAATGTGAAGCTAATTCATCTAGAGACAAATGTTCTCATGCCATAGTGGAGCACATAACATCACAGGAGAGCTACCTGCCCGCTCCATGATCTGACAGCCAGATGGAAATCCAGATCCAATTTTAATGAATCTAGCCACAGACCTGATATACACACAGTGCTTCTTGGGGATAAAAGATCTGTCATTTTGTGCAATGGGCCTCTATACTTGGCACACAGCTGGCTACATGAAGGGTCTGCACAGTTTTCAGAGTTCTTGCTGAGCAGTTAATTACCAAAACAGCACAACCACCCAGCAAGGATGGCAATGCTGCCTGGGCTTTCTACCCCATGCTACAGACAACTAAGGAATTAGCAGCCTCAAAAGAATTCAGTGACATTTCCAGTTTCCATAGCTAGGAAAACATCAAGAGCCAGGACTGATGGGAGACTTAGACCCCAGTTGCTTAAGCTGTTGAACCAGGATGCTCGCCACTGTGTCATGTGTCATACACAGCTAATGAACATCCAAAGGACATACTGTGCAAAAATAAACTGCACAAGCATAATCCCATGGGAGCAAAAGGGGCCTTACTAGGGCCTTAACTTTGTTAGATCAATTGTGAGAAGACAGCACTTAAAACAGTGGGAGAAACAAAATAAAACAAAAACAGAAACTGGGCATGGTAGTACACACCTGTAATCTCAGCACTTAGGGCAGGAGATCAGGAGTTCAAGGCCAGACTCAGGTACATAGCAAGTTTGAGGCAACCTATGCTACATGAGACCTTGTCTCAAAGACCAGGAAAAAAATAAACAGCAGAGGGATTGGTATCCAGGTCTTACCTAGTGAAATAAACACAAAAACACTTGTTGTCTTTTAGCCTGCAGTACCCAAATAGCTGCCTCCTGCTAAGCAGGTTGTGGGATCAGCTTGCCCCAGCCCAGGGCTCCCTGGTGGTGGCCAGGCTGCAGTTTCCCTGGGGCAGCATCTGGACAAGAGACCACTCTGTGAACCTGGGCTACATCTTCAGGGAGAAGCCATCAGCCACCTGGGCACTGTAGCGACAACAATTAAAAATCAGAGCAGTCCCCAAAGGGAAGATCAGAAAAAACTTGACCAGCTCTTTGTTCTGTCATGCTTGTGACACCTCAGAGAACACCACTATAATGTTTTGGAGGATTCTGCTGCACTAACAAGTTCATCCGGGCTCTTTTCAGAGTGATTCCTCTGGTTTCTTGTCTTTTCGCTGCCCTCACTCAATTTATAAGCCTCAAGCTTTCTGCACATCTCAATGACCCCATCAAAGGAAAGGCACTATGTCATTCTAATAGAAAATATTCATATTCATGTGCATGCTTAATACCTAGGCCTTTATGAGTGAGCCATATGGGGAAAAGCAGTATATTTCAGGCCAGCTCTGGGTCCTATTTAGTGAACTCAAAGGAGACAGTCCCAGATTCCACAGCCTCTAGAAAAAATGGACATTCAGAAGACTGAGCCCTGCCTCTTATACTCACATGATTCCACCTACTTCCTTATATATAATATGGAAAAATAAATTCACGGCTATTTCAGCTCTTGAATGCATTAAAATAATAATGGCCAACACTCAGACATCAGGCTACCAGATACTGCAGTGAATGCACTACAGTCATTAACCTACTTAATCCTCTCAGTCGTTATGGAGAAGATAACACTATTGTCCCATTTTATAGATGAGAAAACACAGGCACAGAGGAGAGCAAAGATTGCCCAAGCTCCAGCTAGTGAGTGGCAGAGCCAGGAGTTGAACCACAGCAGCCTGGACTCAGAATCTGTGTGCAAACCAATGTGGGACAAGCCTACTATGGGATGAGCATATTAATATTCCAGAGAACAAGTGAGACAAAGGGAAATCATACCCGTGTGGATTCCAGTGCACCATCACAGCATAATCCAGAGTCAGCCCACTGAGACTGCTCAAACACCACCACACTCTCCTTTACAAATGACCGGCTTAATTAAGCCGTTCGGTTAGAGCAGCTAGGAAGGGCCTGTCAATTCTAATGCTGTAACTGAGGACAGTTTTAAAGATTATAACAAGGCACATTTATTTCCCAGAAAAATTTGCTCTGTTAGCCAAATTTCCAAGTAATCTATCTGCTTTGCTCTTAGTGCTATGGCTGTCATTCCTCTGTGTGAAGATATTGCTGTTGGTTTGGGTTTGTTTTGAGACAAGCTTGCCTAGAACTCACTATATAGCCCAGGGTGGCCTCAGATTCACAGCGATCCTCCTGCCTCAGCCTCCTGAGTGCTGTAATTACAAGTGTGAACCACCACTATATCTACTTTACATTTAAGAGTATAACATCCATTGTTTCCACTCTAGGAGGCTCTGTTCATATATGTACCATACAATTTGAGCCACAAGATGGTGCTCTAATGCAGGAAATAACTTGTGAGGCTGCTGGCCAGCAGAACTAGCATTTCAGAAAAGCAGTTTCTCACACAGCACCACTGTGCTCACATCTCCAGCCTGGCTGCTGGAGTTTCTCCATACTTACTTTCTGAGGAAATCTTCCAAACCCTGACGACGCTGATCAACATGCTGGCGATTGTTCATGTTGAAAAACAGATTTTTAGATGGAAGTTCTGGCACTTGTCTTATGCACACACACAGAGAGAGAGAGAGAGAGAGAGAGAGAGAGAGAGAGAGAGAGAGATAAATAAATGACCTAGAGACTTAGTTAGAGAAATTCCTCAAAGTAAAGGCAAATTATGCATGGTAATAATTGTCACATGGCTACTATATAATTATTATTGTAAAATATCAACTTAAAGGAAAATCTGTCTTTAAATATTTCTGGAGACTTTCATGGTCAATATCCATAGAAGTCAATGAAACCAAATGATCAATTTTATTTTATTTTTGTTTTGTTTTTTGAGACAGGGTCTCCCTGTAGCCCAGCTGTCCTGGAACTCACTATATAGACCAGGCTGGCCTTGAACTCACAGAGATCCACCTGCCTCTGCCTCCCATGTGCTGGGATTAAAGGCATGTGCCACCACACCTGGCTCTCAAGTGATCAATTTTAAATCAGGTTTAAATGCCACAGAACAAACTAGAAGCAATACTCTGCAGTCAGGAGAAAGCCTACAAACTACCTCATACCTTACACATCTCATTGGTTACAGACTGTCATGATAAAAAATATGCTCTTTAAACCACTTACACCAGCAGTGCATTGCTTTGCAGTCTCTGCCTCAACCATACAAATTCTCTGTACCTTCTTCGTACACAAGATGTCTTCATTGTAAAACACATGCTATTTGTCTGGATAGAAAGACAGAAAAGCACAAGCCTCACTCAAAGGAAATATCACTTCCTTTATGTGTAACTCGTAATACAATCCTAATATTCACTCTAAGTAGGAGGTAGACCATCAAAAATGTATTTCCACTGTGTCAGCACTGTGAAATCATACATGTAGCTCACCAGTTTCAGCCCTGAAGAAATCAGAGAGCATGAATGAGCAGTGTTATCCCTGGTGGAGCATGGCTAGGCCACACCCTACATCCTGAAGGAGCCCTCCCTCTCCTAACTATGGGTATTGTTTCCAAGGATAATCATTGAAAAACAGTTCTGTCGGGCCGGCATGCTGGCCTATGCTGGAATCCTAGCACTCAGGGGGCTGGGGCAGGAGGACCCAGAGTTCAAGGCCAGCCTGGGCTACATAATAAAACCACATCTCAAAATAAAACCAGTAACAAAAAACTTTTAAAAACTCCTAAAATGCAAGCTGTTCAGGATCACCATCCCCACAGTGGCCTTTGTAGATGCATGTCAACTTCCCATGGCCTGTAGCAAGGCAACATGGAGGTCTGCATCTCTGTATTACTGGGTATCCCCAAATCACCACTAACGAGAACTGCACTCTCCTGCCCCACTAAACATGCAAGGTGTGTGTGATTTGAGTCAGAAGAGTGGGCTGGGAGCATCAGCACACATGACAAGGAGATCTAAATGCCAACCCTGGCTCTGCTGAGGAAAGTGATTTCAACTCTAGCTTCTTAAGTGGCAAAACTGGGTGATATGAAGTGTGGTTAATGATGTTAGTCACTCATTGTTTGTTTCCTTGAAGCAGCCCTGAGACAGACTTGTGAGAAAACAGGTTCAGAGTCCCCAGCCTAAGCTAAGCCATAATGCTGTCCTTTGGGTAAACACAGAATGAGTAAATATTCTCCTATGGGTAAAACATGAAGCTCACAAACATTTGTGTCTACTGGTTAAAAAAGAATAAGGCCATCTAACCCAGGGCTGGTGGCTCACACCTATAATCCAAGCACTCAAAAGGCTGGGGCAGGAGGACTGCCACCAGTTTGAGGCCAGCCTAGGCTACACACTGAATTCCAGGCAATCTAGGCTACAGAGAGAAGTCCTATATCACCAAACCCAACCCTACCTCTACCCCCACCCCCACCCCAAAAAAACTACAAAAAACCCTCTATTTTTGTATTTATTTTTATGAAATTCCACTTCATAATCTTTATATTGTTAATTGAGAAACTGTTTTTTCCACTAAGATTTTTATTATTTAGAAAATATTCTGCCAATGAATAAGATCAACAGTTGATTTTCTTTGAAAATCAAAGTGATTTTGAGCATTCACTTGTAAGCTGTCCCCATGAAACATAGGGCACAGTTCCTGGTTGCAGAGAGATTAAGGGATTCACCTGCAAGTAGGCCACAGGACTACATCTAGCCCCCTCTGCTGACACAGAAACAAGGCAAAGAAGAAGATGTCATGGCACTGTGGCATTCTTGGAGAGGATTTCAAAGCACACCATAGCCTCACTCTAATGCCATCCTTGGGGACCAAGACAGCAGGCTATAACACCAGAATGAGAGCCTTAACAAGGCCTGAGCAAGCATCCTCTCAGGGTCCTCCCCCTAGAGAGTCCTGGGCAGGGACTCCTGACATCACCAGTACAGGCTGGACCAATTTAAATCCCCAATTTCTGGGCTCACAGTCAATTGTGGATGTCAGTAACAAACATCCGCCTGATACCAGTACCAGAGTAAGGTTCATCTGTGAGTCCTTCAATGACAGGACAGGGTCAGGAGAAGATATGTGATGAATCACCCAACTCTATCATATACTAGTTTAAAACTCCAAGTAAATATCGACATTTCAGAGTCATCTAGTATTATTTCCCTTGAGGTTCATTTAAGCTTGTCAATTCCCAGCTTCTGTGTCCTCAAAGCTCCTGGGCACAGCCCCTAAGGGAGTTTATACAAGTTCCACTCCACTGTCCACTTTTATTGTACAACACACAGAAGCCTTTTTAGTATCAGACTACTCCGAGATCACTAACTAAGTGAGTTCCTCTAAATCCATACGCCTGTCTCTGCCCTCCACTGAGTCAAGACTGATTCATTGTCAATTTACTAACATGTTAGAGAAACACCAGAACACCACCAAAAATAGTATTTGTGGAGTTCCATCATGTATGACACCAAAGAGAGAGATTCCTGAATTCATAGCATGCAATTTATTAACACAGAATAGTCTACACTTTCATGATCTCCTGAAAATAATTAAATTTCATGATTCCCTGACCTTTGTGATAAGGGTTCACAAGCACTTTAGAGGTGATTAAAAGGCAACTAAATAATTTCACTTTATTTCAAATGCTTACTCTTTTTTTCTTTCCCCCCTTTTTTTTTCTTTTTGAGGTGGGTGGGTATTAAGACAGGCTCTTATGTAGTCCAGGCTGCCTTGAACTCACTATATGGCCGAGATTGACCCTGAGATTCTCCTATCTCTACCTCCCAAGTGTTGGGCTCACCAAAAAAATCAGAGCTTTTACTTGGCTTATTATCAAAGTTGGAGACTTAAGAAAGAAAGAAACAAAGGAAGAAGGAAAGAAAGAAGTGAGGGAGAGAGGGAGGGAGGGAGGGAGAAAAAAAAGAAAAGTTTAAAGGGCGGTGTTTGGGTATCCAGTATACCAATTAGTTATTTTAATAACGACATTAAACGATGGCTACATGTTCCTTCACTTCTTCGATGCATTCACAGCTAAACTGGGAGCCTAACAGAATCTGGAATAAATCAGACAAGAAGGGTGACTATCTTCAAGATCAAGAGTAAACCCTAGTGTGTGGGCCCAATCCGGTCAGCCTCCCGTCTTTGCAAGTAGTTTCGTGGAACTCAATCACATTCATTCATCTGCCATGGTCTATGCTGCTCTCGCTCTACCACAGCAGCCATGGGTTCTGCAGCATGCCTGGCACTCATGGCCCACAAAGCCTCAGACAGGTTCTACCTGGCCCTTTATAGAAAAGGTTTGCTGACCCTTGTCCGAGATGGTCCCACCAGCCTCCATCCCATACAAAATTGGCAGGAGTTTGTGATGCACTGTTACTTCCAATCAGGGTGAGCCATTCCAGTTGCTTACTCCTCGTGCTAATGACCCAAAATCTAGACTAAGGCAGATTACTTGTACATATTTGTTTCCTATTATATATAAAATACTACCATTAGAACAAAGTATGAAGACACATATGTATAAAATGCCATAATGAAACCTATCACTTTGCATGCTAATTTAAAATTAATAT